CCCCCCACGGTGTACAGGTGCTGCGGGGTCCGGGGCATCAGGGGAGTAAGGCTGTACTTAACATACAATATCCCCAGCAATCCTCGGGGACAGGGGGACCACACGGACCTGACGGGGAGCAGGGGAGAAAGCCAGAGACTTCTGATCTCTGGCGGGGGGCCGAGGCATGTATTTTTAACACCATGATAAACGCTAGCCAACGGTCACGCTGACCAACTGTGCATCTGAAAGTAGTCAATTCTCGGTTCTTGAGCAATTCAGTTCTCAACCAAGTTGTTCACAGAAAAAAGGTCTCAGCTGTTGGACAAGGCTTCAGTTCTCGACCCGACAGCCCTTTCATGCTGATACCTGTATGATCAATCATACATCTCTCAGGCGACAGAGGAGAGATGCATGAGTGTGAGTCAATTTGCCATTAAACCTCGGGCTGTTAACATCTCAAGAAATTGTGCCGTGAATATTTTCATGTGTTTTTGCTTTTGGGGGTCTGGAACGGATTAATTCCATGTGTATTATTTCTAAAAGAAAAAAACGGCTCGGTTTTCGAACAAATCGCTTCTTGGACAGCCTCTGAACAAATGAAGTCCGAGGACGAGGTCCCACTGCACTTGCTTTCTCACTCAGAAACTGCTGGGAAAGGCATGACTCTGTCGAATGGAATGTCACATGAGCTGACAGCAAACCCGCCAACTCCCTCAAGCTAGTGGTTCATGCGGCATCTGAAAGGCTGGAGATGGCTGGTTCCTTGGAAACTTTAAATGTTCCTTGGCGCCTGAATCCGCTGAGGCCCTGGGCGCCGTGGCACCTTTTGGGAGGCAAAGCCTTAAGTAATGAATAAACAAACGCAAGGATCTTAACCCCAATTTTTTAGCAAGGGCTGCTTTATAACATGGTTTTTTAAATTTAACACGTATAATTTGCATATTAATGTTTTATGTATAAAATACATACATGTAAAAATAACTTAGGCTTTCAGCGGAAAGGAGCTGATCTGACCCACAGACACAGAAATCGTAACACTGTAAGTAGACACGGCCGGGAAGCAGCCAGCCCGGCCCGGCGGCCGCAGCAGAATCGGCGCGTTTCCCGTTCCCTCACCTGAGTGAGCTTCCAGTGGAATTCTGCAGGTTTGTACTTCTTCTCCCCTGAAGGATCCTGACGGAGGAGGAAAATAAACCGGCAGCCGTGGACAAAGAGGGAATAATGGTGCCGGTTCATATCTGCAGAGAGAAATGCGACTGGTAAATTGCCAACTTAAGACCCAAAGGAGAAATAAAAGCTATTTCTTTAATGGATTTTGAAGACACAGCTTTATCAGCATCAATGAACTCCCCAGCTGGGCCAAGGCAGGGTTAGAAACAAATACACTTGGGTTTTTACTATCAAATGCCCAAATGCCCGGGGATGTGTTAGGACAGGCCGCCCTGGTGTAACCATCCAGCCTCGGGGGCAGGAGTCCAGCAGTCTCTGTGGGACACGGAGCACGCTCCCCCAGCAGCCCCCGCGGGGACACGGAGCCCGCGCCCCCAGCAGCCCCCGCGGGGACACGGAGCACGCGCTCTCCCAGCAGCCCCCGCGGGGACACGGAGCCCGTTCCCCCAGCAGCCCCCGCGGGGACACGGAGCACGCGCCCCCCAGCACGTTCACCTGTTTTGTCGGAGCTGCAGAGAATCGTCTCCTTCCTGCGGCCGAAAGGCCCGTGCCTCATCCACACGGACACCGTGAAGGGCTCTTTGGGGTTGACGGAGACGACGCCATCCGGGATGCGGACTGCCTGAGTGCCGTTGAACTCGAAGACCTGGTCGCTGTCGTGGCCGTTGTCCGTGGGGAGGCCCACGGTCCAGTTCAGGGAGCCGCTCGGGGAAGGGAGCAGCTCGGCAGTGCCGGACGCAGCCCCTGAAAAGCACAGGAGCTCGGTTCGCTGGGGGTGAGCGCTGAAAAGGCACCGCCTTGCCAACCGGCACCGACACACTGCCCTTGTCTCAGGGTCTATGCAGTAGTTAGATCCACTTTATTTTTCTCAAAAGGAAGGGTTTTTATGACAAGCAAAATTTGTAAGTGCTAAGCGTGGATATTTTTTTAAAAACTAGGAAAAAAAATTAATCTGTAAACCACAATTAACATTTGCATATGAGCACTTCCAGTCCTCTGTATGTGCATTTTATAAAAATGGAGGCCTGTGTGCACGCGCACATTCCCAGTCATCGCACGGATGTGCCCTAGTTCAATGACCTGACCTCCCTGGTGGACTGAGGTTGTCCCACGTTTTCCTAGGATAAACCTTCCCGTGATGCACACCTTTGCGTGTCTCCATGATCATTCCCTTAGAAATGGAATTACTAAGCAAACAAAGCATGAAAAATTTTACAACAATTGTATGTATTGCCAAGCTCAAGTAAAAAAAAAATTGCCGAAGATTTTGCAAGTTCTCCTGGTCCTCACGTCTCAATTCCCAGGAGCTGCGTGACCTGGCTGAACAACCTGGTTTCTCGAGTAACAGTGACCTCAGTCCAAATCCCAGTCGGCCTCCTCCTAGAAGTGTGTCCTTGGGCGGGCGGCAGAGCCTCCCTCCGCCTCCATGCATTCCTCCGTAAGAACCAGGTCCATACCACCCCCGGCACACAGTGAGCACTCAGATACGGAATCCCCTACCATTCTTCCTACCTTTGAACTGTCCTGCTGAGAAAGTGTTCATTTACTACCATAAAAACTGGCACTATGAGGAGGTAGTTTCAATATACATTTTAAAATTAGAGCCCGTTCCAGATCTCTCAACTGACAGATTAGGTACATGGTTATGAATATTTAGACTCAGTCATAAAACTCCTGAGTATGTTCATCACTGGGATGCGCCAGCAGACAATACACTTTCCCTTTTTGCTTATTCACCATGTAACAATTTCCAGCTAGTCACGAACACTGCTGCTTAAATCTAGCTGCTGTTAGCCGGACAGAGAGAGGACGGAAAATGCTCCCCGCAGAGCTGATGCTGAATAGCTCCTGAAACACACTAGACCCTTCTGATAGGAAGAGGCCATGTAAGTCACTGGCATCATCTCACCAGGCATGTAAACCTTCTTCCTCAGCATTTTCCATGACAGGCAGCCAGGCCTCCCATTTAGATAAACCAGAAAACTTCCCGCAACTGACGGTGGAGTCGGAGCCAGCTTCCTGCCAGGCCCCAGTCTTGCTGCCTCTGGCTTCTCCACCCCAGATCTGGGTATATGATCTGTGGATATACTTCTGCACCCCAGGCCTGGGTATATGATCTGTGGATATACTTCTGCACCCCAGGCCTGGGTATATGATCTGTGGATATACTTCTGCACCCCAGGCCTGCGTATATGGTCCGTGGAGACCAAAGTTAGATGTGGGTGCTTTTGGTCTTGATTTTCTTCTTCACGTTTGCCAAAAACTACTGCATTACCTGTAGTTTTTTTCTCCAGTCCTTAAATAATCATCCCTGTTTTATTTAAAACTCCTTCCACATATGTGTAATTTCTATTTTGATGATTTTCGATGTATGGCAGAGAAATACTGTCTTCAAATCAGTGGTTCTTAAAAATGCACATAAAATAACGTTTTGAACAGATTTCCATGGGGTCATGTACCCCCTGAAGCCCACCCAGTAGGGAAATTAGCCAGTGAGGCAGCAGCAGCCGTGTCAGAAAGTTAGAGTCTGTTTTGGTTCATGATCATGAAGCAACACACACACGCACGCACACGCACACGCACACGCACACGCCCACATACACATGCACGTGTAGGGTCCCTCTCGCCCTCACTGCAGACCGCAGGCCTCCTTACCACAGAGCCGGTGAAGGGACTTCTCAGAGTAGGTGTCGCGGTCACAGCCTTTCCCTATGTGGCTGGTCTCCAGCTCCACCGTCACCTGCACCGAGGCCACCGATTCGTCACACGTCTCCAGGTGGGCATTTGGGAAGAGAGCCAGGGCGCCCGTGCCAGGCTCATACTCGACCCTGCTGTCCCATCCTGCACCGGCCCGGGTAGAGGGAGGGGGGAAGGTCACACATTAGGTTCCGTGCCTAAACTTTAAGAACGGGGTGAGCGCGGAGACGAGAATGGGCTCACCTTGCCACCCGGGGGTGCAGGAGGGCTTGATGCTGATCTTTACCAACACGTCCTCGGTGGCCCTTTTCTTCCCGCAGTCGTAGGCTGTGACCGTCAGCTTGTACTGGTGCTCCTTCCCGTAGTTCAGCTTCTCTGTGTTCTTTATGTGACCTTCCAGGGCGAGAAACAGTGAGGGCCCACACCTGGCTGGTCTCCCTCCACGTCCCTGCTGATACACACAACGCTCGAGGTCCCAGCCCCGGAAGCACCGACGGGACACCCGAGCTCTACACTGAACCATCTCGGAGCCCATGCAATTCAACTCCATTCCTTCTTACAGACTTTTGTTTGTTTTTATATTTACTTGAAGATTTTCATATAAGAGAATAAAAGACAAAATGATTCAAATTCTTCAAATATTAAATACCAGACCAAAGCTGCATTAAATACTTGTTACAGACTTACATTATTAGCGAGAGAGAGAGATTTCCTACCCCACCCACCCGAGAGAAGCCAGCTTTTGACCATGAATACAGGTGTCTGCAAAGTGTTGGCCGTGCCCGTGATTTCAGCAGAGAATCTGGACTGCGGGTTAACGATGGCGACATGCATCATCCTGAAGCCATAACCTCATAAAGAAGTTAAACTCCAGAATGAGCCGATCTCGATCTGTTCAGTTACTGAGAGTCTGGCAATGAAGTATAAACCTTCACCTCAAGATGAGGCAGAAGATTCAGGTCTAATGGAGAACAGCAAACTGGGCCCAACGAAAGGTCATCTTATTCAGACGCACGCTGACTGAAAAGGGAGAAGATACAAACAGCCACATGCTGGGCAGGGACTTCTGTTAGACTCTGAAAAAGGAATGGCCCCGCCAGAGAACACCTGGCGTTCAGGGGACGGAGTCAAAACTTAACTGGGAAGCAGACCCCACAGCAGGTCTCTGCTATGGACTGAATGAGGTGGGGCCTTTGGGAGGAGCTTAGGTTTAGGTGAGGCAATGAGGGGGGAGTCCTCATATTGGAATCAGTGTCCTTATGAGAAGAGAGGAGACCAGAGTGCCCTGTTACTCTCACCAGGTGAGGACAGCAAGAAGGTGGCATCTGTAAGCCGGGAAGCAGGCCCCCACGAGACCCTGAATGGAATGGCTCCTTGATCCTGGACTTCCCAGCCTCCAGAATGTGAGACATACATGTCTGTCATTTAAGCCACCTGGTTTGTGGCATTTGCTCTAGCTGCCCGAATGGACTAACTCTCCGGTCTATGAGTTTCACTGAAGTACAAAGTTTGGGTTTGAAGCTGATCGACTTAGGAGGGACAGTCTGCCGGGACGTCCCCCTGGCAAGGAACGCTGCCCTCTGTTCTCACCATCTTTGTCGACCGTGAATGGCACGTCTGGAGTGACAATTTCATAGCTGCAAATCTGGCTGAACTGAGGGGAGCAGTCTGCATCCACAGCCTCCACCCTCAGGATGCTCTCGTAGCGCCTCCCCTCCACGACTGACGCCTGGTAGGACTTCTCCTTGAACACAGGTGCGTATTCGTTCACGTCGTTCACCTGAATGTGGACCGTTGCTCTGGAAAAGGGGAAAAGCTGTGGGCTTTGCTTGTTTTATTATCCCCCCAAATTGTGCCCTATTTTTAAATTTCCTTTCTCTGATACATTTTATTCAATTTTATCTATAATAATAAAAGGGTAATATGCTAATTAGACTGGATGTCTTCTGGGTGTCATTCCAGGTCCTGGGTGCCTGTGGGCAGCCGGAGGAGGGAAGCCAGGTCCGAGTGCCGGAGGAGGGAAGCCGGTGCCGGCAGCCGGAGGAAGGCAGGCCTACTCTTGCACGAATTTTTGTGCATCAGGCCTCTAGTATGAAGATAAAAAGTAAACTATTCATTGTTTTTAGTTTAACCTGGAGATACCAGAAAAGTTAAAACAGGAATTTGGGTTGATCCTTCCAGGTCTAGGAATAAGGCACCCGGTAAGAAGGCAACAACACAGTCTGGCCAGCGGCTCATGCGGTCAAGTGTCCCAGACACCAAAAAGGTTTCAGGTTCGATTCCCGGTCAGGACACATACCAACATTGTGGGTTTGATCCCCAGCCGGGGTGAGTACAGGAGGCAACCGACTGATGTTTCTCTCTTTCTGCCCCTTCCTCTCTCTAAAAATCATTAAAAACATACCCTCGGGTGAGGATTTAAAAAACAAAAAAGGCAGTAACACTGGGATTTTCTTTCACGACGTGGGACAGAGCATGTAAAAGGGAGATAAACTATACCAGATATGTTAGCTCTGTTAACACAAAGTTAAAAATATTTTTTTTCAAAATTCAGAAACAACTAGAGCCAAAGGAAGAAGGGCTAAGAAACAGAGATGGGAGATGGGATATGGTGAGCATTAAAACAAGGCTGGTCCTGCTTCCAAGGAATAGAGACCATTAGTAACCCGTGGTTGGGACCCCACCTGCCGTTGATCTAGCAAACGAGGGACCTCAAGGTGACCTCAGTGTTGCCCTTCCTGGCGAACCCCGTGCTGCCAGCTTCCATCTCCCAACTTGGGGATGAGAAAACAAAGGCATCGTCAGAGCAGGCTCCCCAGACAGAGAACTGCGGGCCTCAGGGCTTCGGATCAGGGCACATTCTGAACCAGACAAGCTCTGCACTCAGCACCCGCATTATTCACCAAGACCCTCTCCACCCTGACGCCACCCGCCCGCCACGCTGACCCTCACAACAGTTATGTGACATCACCTCAGCCACGTGCCCTCTTTCCTCAATCCATATCCCGAGGAGAAACTGAGACTCAACAAAATCAAATCTGCCCAATGCCAAGGGCAGGTGAGTGGCAGAGGAAAGGCTAGGTTCTTTTTTTATTTTGTATTTTTATATGTTTTTACTGATTTTTAGAAAGAGCGGAAGAGATAGGGATAGAGCGATAGAAACATCACTGATCAGCTGCCTCCTGCACGCCCTTGACCGGGAATTGAACTGTGACCTCTTCGTTCCTGGGTCGAACACTCAACCACTGAGCCACAGGGGCCAGGCAGGAAGAGTCTGACTCCATGTCTTGCCCAGAGCCCTCTCCACTAGAGCGCGGTCCTCGGCTGGCAGGAAGGCCATGCTCACTCCCAGGGCAGAGCCCACCAGCTGGCTTTCTCTCCTCAGCTCGAATGAATTTCACGCCCTCAGAACTTACAGACAAAAGACACACATACCTACAAACATCTTCCTAGGGCAAAGAGTGGGCTTTCGTATTTTCTCTGTAGGGCCTTGGTTTCTCTACTAGGTTATTCATTCATTTACGACGACTATGGTCCAGGTCCTGGCTGGAGCCGTCTACAAGGGTCTCTGCTCTAACTGCTATGTCCCGGTGGGCGCCTGGAACTCCCTTCTGTTTCAAAAGCACCGAAGTCCTGGGGCAGGACAGTAATGGTCGCGGCTGTCCTCACGCTCCCTGCCCGGCCACTTACTTGTGAGACTTCTTGGCGTTGGCGCTGCCATCGGGCCCCCTCCCGCAGTCGTAGGCCTGGATGGTGAACGTGTAGTCTTTCTGCAGCTCACAGTCTAGTTTCTCTTTTGAGCGAATCAGTCCCTCGCCCGTGGACTTATCCACCACCACTGCGTCAAAGGGCACGTTCTGCCCGTGAATTTTAAATCCACAAATCTCACCTGGGGAGTCAAAGCAGCGAGGTTAGAATCGCTGCCACCGAACCGGCTGCAGCCAGACCCCTCCTCCCCCAGAGAAAATCCATGACCACGCGGCAGCCAGGGGTTGAGAGGGTCTGTGGGGAAGCAGGGCGCTGTGCTTGGCGACAGGGTGAGTTCTCGGCTTTAGTACAAAGAAGCAGGTTCTGGCTTTCCAAGCAACTCATTTAACTTTGCATCCATTCATGCAGGAGTACAAAAGAGAGAGAAAATACAGACAGGCATTTCACAGGAGTACTTAGGACAGCTCCAGGGCAAAGTGTCTCATTAGCAGACTGCCAAGGCCTGATAACACCAGAAACTGCCCAGGCTGCAGGGGACAGCTGGGCAGCTATTTTGGTTTGGACCAGAGAGAAGGCTAAAACACACAGTCAAGTGTTGAGAGAGGAAGAAGCGTGAGATACGGGTTCAGCACCATAATTACAGAAGGTCTGTAAAAAAAAAAAGGCAGAAGAAACAAGTCTTCCTGTGCAATGAGCCTGGCTAAAATTAGGGAATCAAAGCAAACTACGGAATGAGAAAGGTAGAAATACCAACTTTTCAGGCATCCATTTCAACAGCTAGCGTCTACCAGTACGATGCAGTGCCCGCCATGGGGAGAGACCTGCAAGACTGGCCCTGTTTCGGACTATATCCTATCAGACCTGAAAAGGGAGCCTGCCTGGGAACTGAGATTCATCTAAGTTGGCTTACCAGCTTAAGCAGGAGTTAAAAATCTGTTTCCATTCTTGCCCAGGGGAGAACAAATATAAACGTTCTAATGTACAAGTAAAACTTCACAAAATGTATTTCACACAAAAATAAGACGGACCTCTTCCAAAATTACAACCAATAGAAAATGGTTACGAAGTGAATCTCTTAAGTTCAATTTAGGAAAAAATGTGCAGTGTTATCCATATAGTTCAAATGGATGTCTGATTTCCAGATATTTCTAACCAAGGGTTTGGTTACATACAGTTTCCATCAATTTATTTAAAAATAGAAACAAAATAGGATAAAAGGAATAAAAAAGCATCATAGCTTCTTCTGTTTAAGGGCTGATTCCCAATTTTATAAACAACGTTAGTGGGTTAATATTCATAAGAGGGATAGAAAGAACCCTTTATCACCTTCTTTGGTGACTGTCACCTCAAAACTCTCTGAAGGGAGAAAAGATAAACCCATGTCAGTAATGCAGGAAAGAATGAAGACGGAACAATAAGGAAAAAAAGTCAAAGATGCACATATTACACAGAAAGCTTGACAGAATTTAACAATCAGCGCAGTAGAACTGCTATAGCTAAACTGGACCTTCAGTAACGAAGTGTCTCTTAGAATCCTACTTACCAGGAACTCCTGTGTAATTTTTGAAATTGCACTAATTACCCATGAAATAGCACAGCCAGAGCTTCCTAACACCCTCAGGTGCGTCAGACAGCGTAACAGTTTCCAGGGGTGGGCAAACTTTTTGACTCGAGGGCCACAGTGGGTTCTTAAACTGGACCGGAGGGCCGGAACAAAAGCATGGATGGAGTGTTTGTGTGAACTAATATAAATTCAAAGTAAACATCATTACATAAAAGGGTACGGTCTTTTGTTTCAATAGTTTTATTCATTTCAAACGGGCCGGATCCGGCCCGCGGGCCGTAGTTTGCCCACGGCTGGTTTAGACGCACACCTATTTGTTCTTTCCAGTTTCCAGCTTCTCCCTTTCAATGTAAGTTCCTGTGGTTGGAGTCTGACAACATTCAGTTCATTAGATTAAATGAAACAAGCAGTTGGAGCAATGGCTTTTACGTTCAATCCTTTGTTTATGAGCTGAATAAATAACAATGTTTTCTAATCTAATCTTGTTCTAATGCAACTAAGGCAACAAATATAAACACCCCTTTGAATGGAACATATGCTTAAGTGGAACTGAAACCAATTCAAATGAACGGTGGTGATGCTACAATGGCCACGGTCTTTACTGAGGGAAACACTAGTCCAGCGGCCCATATATATCCTGCTTACCTTGCCCCGGACCATTGCAGGGGCGAGGTCAGGGGCCTCGTTGCCCCCCACTCACTGTGGCCTCCCCAGGGCACCTGCTCTCCCCAAAAGGCATCACAGTCTGAATCCCCTTGCTTTTAAAAATTGTTGTACCATATGTTTGTACATTCCCGAATGATGTTGTTTCATTTTGCTTGTTTTTGAGGTTTGAACAATGGTATCACATGGTATAGAATGCCTGCCGTCTCATTCAGCCTGAGGGTCTAAGACAGTGATGGCGAACCTATGACACGCGTGTCATCTCTGACAAGTGAACTCATTTTTTTGGTTGATTTTTCTTTGTTAAATGGCATTTAAATATATAAAATAAATATCAAAAATATCAGTCTTTGTTTTACTATGGTTGCAAATATCAAAAATTTCTATGTGTGACACAGCACCAGAGTTAAGTTAGGGTTTTTCAAAATGCTGACACGCTGAGCTCAAAAGGTTCGCCATCACTGGTCTAAGATCCATTCATCCGGGAGGGCACACCCAGCTGCGGTGCATTCATTCACTGCTGCGTAAGAAGGAACCAGTGAGCACACCCAGGTACAGTGCGCAGAACGCAGCTTGGCACAAAGCAGGCCCCAACAGTGTTCACTATTCCCAGCTGGTTCCCGTGGGCACTGTACCACAACGCCGGTTTCTGCTGTTCATGAATGAGCTATAAGGGATAATTCTGTTGGTGGTTCCTGCTGCATCCACACAGTGTCTCTAGATCTGTGCTGGCCAATGCCTGTGCCGAAGCCCCAGCCCCATGGGGCTGTGTCAAACTGAATTAAAATTCATGTTAAAATTAAATATTAAAATTCAGTTCTTCCTCGTACTGGTCGCATTTCCACAGCTGCACATGCCTAGTAACTGCCGAATGGAGAATGCAGACGCCGAGGGATGTGGATGTGCTGCCCCAGGCGGTAGGCAACCCATGGCCTTGGGCCAGATCCACCTGTGTCACACTGTTGAACAACCTGTGTGCTAACAATTGTTTCTTTTAAAATATTATATGAAAATTATATGACATTCACATTTCTGTGTCTGTAAGCAAAGCTGTATTGGGCCCACGCACTGAAGGGGTTATAGGTTCCATTCCTGGTCATGGGCACCCTTCTCCTCCATCCCTGATGCACAGTTGTGTTACTTACACAACCGGACAGTTACATCCGTGTAGTTACCGGCACTGATTACACGGAGTTACAGCGTGGTGCATCTCCACGCCTTTGCATTCTTGGTCCTCTCTCCTAGACTCACCTTCGCTCAACCTCTGCAAGCAAGGCCTCTCAGAATCACCTATCAGTCTATTCTCTTTCTGTCCGGCCCTTTCCCACTCAATTCAGACCATGTGCACCTGCTCTGCTAGGTAAGTCCACCTGAAACCCTACCCCACCAGGTTTCCCGACAACCTTTCCAGCTATATTCGCCTTGGATGGACCAAACCTTTCACATCTCTCTTCCCCTCATTCCCCTAAGATCATCTAAAACAGTTAAAAGGGCCCTAGCTGGTTTGGCTCAGTGGATAGAGCATCAGCCTATGGACTGAAAGGTCCCGGGTTTGATTCCAGTCAAGGGCACATGCCCGGGTTGCGGATTCCATCCCCGGTGGCGGGTGTGCAGGAGGCAGCCGATCAATGATTCTCTCTCATCACTGACGTTTCTATCCCTCTCTCTCTCTCCCTTTCTCTCTGAAATCAATAAAGATATATTAAAAACAACAACAAACAGTCAAAAGGACCCTGGCCGGTATGCTAAGTTGTTAGAGCATCAAACCATACACCCAAGGATCTCGGGTTTGATTCCCAATCAAGGGCTCGCGTACCCGGGTTGCAGGTTCAATCTCCAGCGCTGGTCAGGGTGTGTGCAGGAGACAACCAATCAATGTGTCTCTTTCATCGATGTCTCTGTCTGTCTCTGTCTCTGTCTCTGTCTCTGTCTCTCTCTCTCTCTCTCTCTCTCCCTACCTTCCTTCCACTCTCTCTAAATAGCAATAAAAAAATATTCTCCAGTGAGGATTAACAACAAAAAAAGTTAACCACAGAATTTTTAAAAAGCAAAACATAAAAGTGTAACAACGGGTACAGATTTGACTGCTTGATATCCAAAGTCACGTCCAGGGTTCCTGTTTACAGCGTCAGCCTCACTTTCCTCGTCCGTCCCTCCGAGAAACCACGGCTGGCTTTGCATTCTTTCTGAGTCTTCCTCCGAATCTGAGTATAACCCAAACTGCACTCTCTGCCCTGAGAGCGAGGGTGTCTCCAGATCGTCCCCCCACTAACTCTCAGGTCACCTGCCTATGCTGCACTCCTCCTGGAGGCCCTGAGTGCCGGCTCCAACCTTAGTTTCGCTGGTTGCCAGCAACAGAAATCCATTCCAGCTGACTCAGGCAAAAGGGGCTTCACTGAAAAGCCGTCACGAACTCACGGAATTGGCTGCAAGCCAGAGAAAGGAACCTGGAAACAGCAGAAACCAAGGCAGCTCGAGAGACCGGGAATGGGGGCCTGACCAGGCCCAGAGCAATCTGGCCTGGACAGAGGGAACGCAACCTCAGCCGGTCTCAGCATCTGCGGCTCCCAAGGAGGGAGCACCTGGCAGCCTCGCCTGGGCTGTGCATGCACTTGGCTGGGAAGGCGGGTAACGGACTGAACACCCACCGATCTGGCCCTGGAAAAGGGACACCCGCTGAGCAGCATCCACTACAACATCCCTGCTAACCCGACCCTCCTCCCCTGCCCTCCTGTCCACCCGCCTTGGCGCCCACACTCTCCAGCTGGGCACCAGGCTGCTGCTTATTTCTGGTGACTGGTCCAGGCTCCTTTCTGGGACCTAAATCATCAGTGCTCTGAGAAGAAGGGCCAACTTTTATGCTTCTTTTATTCTACAAGGACCTGGCATAAATACTTAATATATAATGATTATTGATACCAGCCTTTCCTGGAGGCAACTGCATCCAAAATGAGTCTCCGCTAGTCAGTAACTGTTTAAGTTCCCATTCTAACATCCAGATACTTACTTAAATCCGCTCCTCAATGAATTACTGCCTTGGAGTATTTAGGCTCACCCACAGCATATTTCAGATTTCCATTTTTTTCAAGTACTGTGATAGTTTCGACATATAAAAATGGCAATTTCATGGGGCTTCACCAAATATGTCCAACTCATTGCTGCAAACACAACGCCCGCCCATCGCCTGCCACAGTTAAAAAGGCAGTGCTGGGGGGCGAGGTGCAGTGCAGGAGTCGGCCCCATCGCCATCCTCGCATAAAGTATAACGAGTCACATAAAGTATAAAGAATACGGAGGAAAGGATCACACACCTGAGTTGGTTCTAACAACAAAAGTAAAATCCCCATTCTTGCCCTGAAATTTCTTTTGGATTCTATTTCTATCGCAACTGTTTGCCTAACCTTGCAAACTCTACTCGGCGGGAAAACAGGAAAAGGTGCTAGGGTGAAACCACCTACTAAAAGGAAGAGCCTGAAAAGGGGGGCGACAAGACGGGGCACTCAGCTCTGACATGGGCAGTGAAGAGGGGACAACTGTCAGAAAGGCAACCACGTGGACTGCGTAAGGGGCTCAAGCTCCCCATCAGGTACACAAAACGGGCAACACAATTTCTTACCCGCCTCTACTCAGGCTTTTAGTACATTAAGGAAAAGGGGTTGAATAAGAAACTTATTTTAATTTCCTAAACTACTTGACAAATACCAAGATTTTACTCTCCTATTTCACCCCAAGAAAACAATCTGGGCAAGACCCTGCATTCAATACGAAGGTCTGATGAGGGACAACTTACGACGCACTCTGGTGACTAAGCTGCCAACATCAGCCATGGACTGACTTCAGAAGTCTGACAGACAAGCAATCTCTGGTGGTTACCCGCTCGTTCCTGATGGGGTAGGACTGCGAACCAGGATGTTTACAATGTTCTACAGAGAACGTGTGAGAGCCCACAGTGAACCTACGAATGGAGGCTGGAGTCGGACCCCCTGGCGGGAAGGCGACTCTATCACTTATGAGCTGTGATCTTGGGCAAACTCAGTCATTCCTCCTCCAATATTTATGGAGTGTCAACTAGTGCCAGTCGCTGGTCTAGGGCCGTATACAGCTGGCACTGCAGAGTAAGAGGCCCAATCACTTCTTAGGATGCAGGGAAAGCCAGGAATGTGTAAGTCTGCTCAAAAGCATAAACGAGATAATCCTACTCAAGTTATTCACACTGCACTGACCGTCACTCTCACACAGAGGAGCATGTGCAATAACTAAATGTGGCTGCAGGGGCTGCGTGTACAAGTATATACACACAAACACTCAAAATCTATTCGTTCCAGAGCACACCGATGTGATATGCTAAAAATGATGACAAATCCGGGGGAAGGAGCAGGCGAAAATCATCTCAGCTGCTGCACAAGCTCTGTGTGTGGATTCACGGCACTGAGCGCGTCCTCTCCTGTCCATCCTATCGGATTTCTCTCTAAAAACCAATCAACAAGCAACACTACTGGAAGGTCTGTGTCCACTGCGGACACAGCACAGCTGGTTCTCAGCTTACTTTCCTGAACATGGGCTGTGGCACTTGGAGGGAATGAAGAACAAATTTATTGTTTAAATCAGCGGTCGCCAACCTTTCGGACCTCACAGACCACCAGTGGTCCGTGGACCACTGGTTGGCGACCACTGGTTTAAATAGCTCTTCAGAAACACATCCACTTTCCTCAATGTACACACTGTGAAATACGTTAATGTACCCCCTGACCTATACAAGGTAACTGAATCCTTCTTACTGGTGCCCAGGCAAACAGCACACACTAACAGGAGAAATTTGGACCTGGAAAAAAATGCCACGCAACAACTATTCTCCTAAAATTCACTGTGACCCTGAGGCAAGGCGAGGGTGACGCGGCACAATTCACGTCAGTCGGGGAAGTTACTATGGTCACGCGGCTCAAGCAAGAAACGCTCCGAAGTGCAAAGTGCTATTACATGTCAGCAAAGCAGCCAGTCTCCAAGCGATCCCAGACCTGCCGCTGTGGTCAGGTTACAGCCTATGGAATGCCTCCACTTTAAAAATTTACTGAAAGTAAAATCTGAGCCACAGGATTCCTCTACAAAGATTGCCTGACATTTTCGAATAAGTCTTTTCGGGTAACTGAAACCGAGGATCCAAATCTGCATTTTAACACGACCCTCAGGTGTGCTGTGTGCACGATTTTTTGAGACACACTGGCCTAGGTGTTATCTGTCTGATGACATCAAGACAAGGACTAGAATAATGCGATGTAATACTGTGCTTTTCAACCACATGTACAGGCTTTTTGGTCAGGTGCCCCAACTTTTTAAAGGAACAGGAAAAAGGATGGTGCCCGGGAGCCACAAACCACCCTCGGCCATTGGACACTTTAAGAAAGGGTGAGAAACGTTCCCAGTGCATCGCCCCCAGTCCCGGTGCATCAAGAGCGAACAAAATCGTGCTCCTACCTGCGAAGCGCAGAGGGGCGTCCTTGTCCAGGGCGATCAGCGGGGGGTCGAGGAGCACCGCGTTGTCGTTTTCGGTCACTATGCCGTGATAGGTGGGCTCGAGCCAGGGCTTGTGCTTGTTAGCTGTGTTTAAAAAGGAAAGGAAGCAGGAAGGTTAGAACACCATCACTTTTTTTGAAAAGATTTTTTAAATTGATTTTGAGAGAGGGAGGAAGCAGGAGAAACAGTGACATGAGGGGGAGGTGGGGACTGGCTTCCTCCTGCACGCCCCCTACTGGGGATCGAGCCCACAGCCGGCATGTGCCCTGACCAGGAATGGAGCCGCAACCTTTTGGTGCGCAGGACAACACCCAACCCACTGAGCCACACCGGCCAGGGCTGGAATGAGTATTTTAAACTCAACTGCTTTCAAAGGCACATCTATTATGTCTGCACAATACGACTCACTGATCTAGAAGGCAACACTTGCATTTTTTTGTTGCAGAGTTTGGTATCAAGACCCAAATATCATGAAATCCTAAATTCCAGAGTGAGTAATGGAGAAACTATATGAGTCCAGGAAGAAACTAGATTCTGCTCTTCAAATTAAAGAAGAAAGACTGATGGCCAGTAGACAAACTCAAAGTGTTTTGGGCCTATCACAGAATAGTGACAAAGAAAAGTGGTATTTCTTTATGACAATACAATAGTACCTATTTAAAATTAGCATTACAAAGACACAAAATAGACAAGACTTATGAATATAAAATTACAAATCTGAGGTATTAAAATAAATTCCTGAAATAGTTAACTGAAAACCGTTTAAGAATAAATAACCCTCTTTGGAGTCAGGCTGACGTGGGGTCAGATTCCAGCGTCCTCTGTCTTTACCGAGTGACCTAGAGCAGGTGTAACTGACCTCTGGGTGGCCTTGAATAACCTCTCAATCTCATTTCCTAGTTTGTAAGCCAGCCCCGCCCCCTCCCGAGAGGGCTGGTGCCATAACTGGAAGAGAAGGCTGCACTGTAACTGCTACTTTTGTTTTTAAGGGAGAACTGTGCTGTCTGGCAGGCGCTTACCTGGTTCCATCAGTTTTTAGTTCTGATCCCCCGTTTTGCCTGGGCCTGGCTTTGTCCAGGTCACGGCCATCACTTCCTCCCTGAGCGCTCGCTCCACCAGCGCATTTTGGGCTCCACCTCACAGCTGGAACTCTTTCATTGTCTTTCTACTTTCACCTTGAGTGTTACAAGCTCTCCTTATATCTCAGGTGTAACGTATCACATCTCAGGATACGATTAAGCATAGAACTCCTCAATTTAGCTGAGCTGATTAAAAGGAAGGGTATGGAACTTTATGACCAACTGGAGGCCCAGTGCACAAAATATGTGTGTGTGGGGGGGACGGTCCCTCACCCTGGCCTGCAACAATGCCAGCATCCCTCATCCTGGCCTCCGGCCTGAGGCCCCGTCCCTCCCCTCCCTCTGTGTGGCCGGGGCACAAATGCTGGGCTCGAGTTGCCGGGGCGATGCCTCCAGTGTCCCACCCCAGCCACTATGGGCGCCACCATCTTTGTAGTGGAATGACAGTTAATTTACATATTATTCTTTTATTAGCTAGGATAGGTAGTGCCTATTTGTTGAATGAACTACCAGTGCCTTTCCCGTGAGTGCACATCAATCCAGAAGCATCTGAAATTAAATTTAAATGTTTAACCATGTCGAATACAACATCCCATAAGGGGATGCTGCTTTCCTGCTGCGGGTGATGACCCTTACGGAGCAACAGGAGAGCGAGACGGTGAGAAGCACCTGGGTCTCACCTGCAGCCCCTCCAGCGTGGTGCACGACCAGCGTGTGGGAGGGGAAACAAGCTACCAGCTCTGCAAGGAATGACGCATCCATCAAACATTCATGCACACCACATCCAGCCCACAGCAAACCTCTGCTTCACTTTCAAGGTCACTGTAGTCCCACAGGATCAGTCTAATGGGTACAGAGTTGCAGTTTTGCGAGATGAGAAGAGTTCTGGAACAGGCTGCACAACAATATGAATGAGTATACTTAACACGACTGAACTGTACACTTAAAATGGTTACGACGGGAAAATCCGTTCTACATTTTACGGCATTTAAAACTGCGCACACAAAATGCAGACGCAGCTGCTTCTCGTCACCTCTGCTTCTCACCGGGACTTATTACAAGAGCCAAATGACCAAGCGCATTCTTGCCCTCCTGACAGATCTGATCTAAACAGTATCCTCAAAGTTGTGCACTGAGAACCGGCCACACCAAAAAGGTCCTCACAGCATTTGTTTATGTGGGATCTACCTACCTATCTAATTTATCTACCTACCTACCTATCAGAATTCACTGTATTGGAAATTAAAACCAAAATAAGTTTTAATATTTATTAATGCATTAAAAAAACCCATTATAAGTTAGCGTAAGTACCATTTTCATAAAAACTGCATTTTTAAAAACAAAGCTCGCTAAGAAAAGCGGCACCACTTCCATCCTGTGAGTTTTCGCTCACTGTCCAGCTTCACAGGACCAGCTGGTCCCCATCGTGCCTCCTGCGGCCGTGCCACACTCACCAGGCAGCCTCCGAGCTCTCGTGAGGATGAGGGAAGGCAAGTCAATGTCTTGATATTAAAATAGCTTTGACCTCTCCAGTCCCCGGCCAGAGTCTCAGGGCTCGTCACCTCACTTCAGGTCTCTGGTCAAATGCTCCCTCGTCCAGCCCCACCAGCACCCACTGCTCTGGCCCCACCGTTCTCCTTCTCTGCTGCTGCTCTTCGCCACCGTGGGCACAGCGAGGGCAGCGGGGCCAGCCTGGGACCTTGGGGCAGTTACCTGGCTGCCTCCGTGGGCCTGTTTCCTCAACTGTAAACTGAGGACAGGAATAGTACCCACCTCACAGGTTGCAGTGTGATCAAACCCGTCACACATGACAGGCTGACAGTGTCAGACACAGGTGATGCCACAAGGTGCTGCTGTGTCATTACCTTCTCCTCCTCCACTCAGACATGGACAAAAACAGATTCTGGGAGTGGCTGGCCTTCTGCTGTTTGCTAACTAGCATCTCATCATCGGGAAGTATCGGGCCAATGAATGAGTGTGTCAGGAACCTTGTATATAGTACAAATAAAATCAATGTCCTGGCCCAGCCGGCACGGTCGGCCTATGAACCAGGAGGTCACGTTTCGATTCCCGGTCAGGGCACATGCCCGGGTTGCAGGCTCGATCCCGTGTGGGGCGTACAGGAGGCAGCTGATCCATGATTCTCTCTCATCATTGAGGTTTCTATCTCTCTCTCCCTCTCCCTACCTCTCTGAAATCAATAAAAATATGTATTTTTTAAAATTTTAGTCAGTGTCCTGGTTTGAAATTCTCTCCTAGAGAAGTAGTTTTGGTGCTGAGATGGAAAAGCAGCTATGTCTTGGTGTTGTGAACATTGAAAGGTGTTACTTTTTGTTTCTGGCAGGTGGACAGTCTAAGCAAAGAAGAGGAGAGAACCTAGCGATCCACGTGCAACCAGGGACCTGTCCGGAAAGGTGAGCTGTGCTTAGATTATGGAGGGACTGACTAGGATACCAAACCCAGATCAGAAAGGCCGAGATTTAAGGAGCCTCTGGAAAAGCTCTCCCCACACAAAAGCTGCCCTGGCCAGGAGCCTTGGGAGAGAAGAATTCAGTTCTGGTGCACCTGCCCTTCTCCTTCAGCAGCACCCCGAGGGCGCCGCGCTCACTGGGGGGACGCTGTGCAGGCCGAGTCTGAGGCAGCCCTCGCTCCGGGAGGGTCCTCTGCACACAGGAAACAGCCTCACTCTGCAGCCGGCGGGAGCTTTTCCTAACGGCTGGATCTCCCACTTCTCCAGACAGCTCGTGAAACCTGCGCTGTAACCTGCTGTGGCGCAGGCTGACGGCTGCCTGGGCTACAGGTGTGACAGGTAAAAAGCCATTGTGAAGAACCTCCAGTTTGTCACTGATTTCTCCTTTCAAAACACAGAAGCTATTAATTCAACTTACTATTAGTAATGTACCATTAAGAGCAATAGTAAATTCCAATTTGTTTTCATATTTCAAGTTTTAATAAAACTAGAGGCCCGGTGCACAAAATTTGTGCACAGGAGGGGGGGGGGGTCTGCGCCCTCTCCAATCCGGGACCTCTTGGGGGATGTCTGCCTCTCGCAATCCTTCAAAACACAGAAGCTATTAATTCAACTTACTATTAGTAATGTACCATTAAGAGCAATAGTAAATTCCAATTTGTTTTCATATTTCAAGTTTTAATAAAACTAGAGGCCCGGTGCACAAAATTTGTGCACAGGAGGGGGGGGGGGTCTGCGCCCTCTCCAATCCGGGACCTCTTGGGGGATGTCTGCCTCTCGCAATCCTGGACCAGTGGCTCCTAACTGCTCGCCTGCCTGCCTTCCTGATCGCCCCTAACTGCTCCCCTGCTGGCCTGATGGCCCCTAACCCTCTGCCTCTGCAGGCCTGATCTCTCCCACAACTGCCCTCCCCTGCTGGCTTGATGGCCCCCAACTGCCCTCCCCTACAGGACTGGTAACCCCCAACTGCCCTCCCCTGCAGGCCTGATTGCCCCCAACTGCCCTTCCCTGCTGGCCCAGTCACCCCTAACTTCCCTCTGCTGCCAGCATGGTCTCCCCTAACTGTCCTCCCCTCCAGGATTCACCTGCCTGCATGCCTGATCGCCCTAACCGCCTCTGCCTCACCCCCACACCCGGGACCCAGGCTTTCCTCCTACGGTCAGCTGCAGGCACCCAGGACCTGGGCCGGCTTTGCCAGGGCCGGCCGCAGCCGCAGAGGACTGTGGGCGCGCCGCTTTGCCTTGGCCGCAGCCGCAGGCGCCCGGGACCGTGGAGCAGGTGGCTGGTCCCTCTCCCGGGCCATAGCCTGGCTGATCTCCATTCCTTTCTTGCGCGCTCATTTGTGCCTGGCTGGTCCCCATTCCTCTCTCCCCAGTGTTGAGTGTCTGAGCCATTACGGCGTGAGGGCATGATGACTATTTGCATATTAGCTCTTTATTATATAGGATTATAAGCAAAGCAAATGAAACTGAAGATTATTCCAATATGTGAGTCCGTAAAACTCCTTAGACTTTAAGTGAATTTTTCTAACCCAGTAAGGAGGTAAAAATACTAGGCAAAGTGCAGAAAATCTAAAATAGCAGAAAGTATTAAAAGGTAGTAGCATAAAATGTGTATTTCTGCTACCCTAAATGATAAACCTGCAGCTGAAAATTACTAATGGTTCAAGGCAAAAAAAATAATTTTATAGTGATATTCCTAATTCTCTTATTTTTCCCAGTATTCTAATTTTATCATTCAGATTTTCTAAATTGCTCCTTTAGGCTGGAAGTAGAATGAAGAGAGCTGGCCAGTTTCAAAGACTGAACTTTTAAATATTTAATAAATGATATTTTTAATATTTCATCACGTTCAATTGGCATTATAAAATATTTATGGAGACAAGTGACTGATGTTTCTGTAATCATCCAAAAGGAGCCCACAGATAACGCGGAGAGACTAGCAGCCAGCAGGCGAGGAACAGGTCGCCGGTGCTCAAAGTCTTCTCCTGATTCATGGCTTCACATTCTACATCATAAAAAAGCCAATGACATTTTGAATAGCATAATACTAATTAACATCTGGGAATGGCAAGGCTGGCGATCAGCCTGTCTGTAAATGTGGGCTGTATCTGGGGTGTGCACGGTTACTCTTAAGACCTGGCTAGCTTCTGTGGTTATAAAATTGTCACTGATTTAAAAACCAAAGTGAAAAGAATACAACAGTCAACTTCAGGGTTAACTTTAAATATAAAAACTTACACCTTCCCAGTATATCCCAACTCTGTGGGCAAAAGAGAGGTTGGCTCCCTGTCCAGGCCACGCAAGTCACAGATCCCCGGCAAGGTGGCTGCAAAGCCCGTGTGTGGCAGCCCCAACATCAACCGTGCACCAGAGCTCCCGGCTGATAAATTCATTGATGAAGAGAAACCCACTCTTCCCCAAAACATTGGCTACGTGCCACTTCTCATTACAGGACATCTAGTCGTATTGACCCAGTAACGACATCATAATAAATAATGACAAATATGTGTTTTTAAAAAACATTTTTAATTAACTTCAGAGAGGAATGGAGAAGAGAGAGATAGAAACATCAATGATGAGAGAGAATCACTGATCGGCTGCCTCCTACACGCCCCACAATGTGCCCCTAACCAGGAACCAAACCGTGACCTCCTGGTTCATAGGTCCACGCTCAACCACTGAGCCACACCGGTCATGCGAAAACTATATGTTTTAAGAGACTGTAGGCAATTCACCAGTAAATATTAGATAATGTTACATGTTTTGTTTGCAGATTCAACATTTAACCTTGGTCCATCAAAAGAATATACAATTAGGAGACACCGCCACTAGGTGGCGGCAGGTGCCTTTGAGTGCATGCTGCAAATTGCCAGGCTTTGATTTAAAAATCTAGCTCCTGACTCACTAAGGAGTGGAATATAATGTGTTAGCTGACCCCTTGTTAAAGGCAATATGCATAGAAAAGTGTCTTTAATGATATAAATATAAAATCTCCAACTGATTATATTTTCCTCAGAAAACATTTTAAAATTCATAAATTATTCAGATAGTTCCAAAATAAAAATATAAAAAGGCATCCATTCTTATGGACTCTCTAAGCATTGTCCCATATTCATATTTAGATCAGACCATCTCTGATCCTTGAAAACCAGCTTGACATCAAAGGTCCTTTTGGCTTCACGTCACCATGGACTTGAAGTCTGCGCAGACACTAAAACCCTCCCAAGTCTTTCCCCAGGACCGTCTGCGAGGCGTAAGTGCACTGCAAGGTGCTGAGCCTGGGGAAGCAAGGCCCGATCTGCCAGAGAACACAAACGTACCGACGCCGTCACAGCCTGGATCGATGTGGCCATAATCACCGGGGTGTGGGGTGTGGGAAAAACTGGCAACGGGAACTCACTCGGTGGGAACTCGGACCGTCAGCAGAGCCAGTAAGACCTGAGGCCTCCATCGCAGACGTGGCCCTGCCATTGCCAGGGGAGGACTGAGCACTCTGGAGGGGTGCCTAGTGGGAGCTGACCCATCTACACAGACGAAATACAACTCACTTTTGCTCCTAACTCGTGGGCCAGAACTGGTCCCATGGCCCCACCCAAATCACCAGGGTGGGCAGGGTGTGCCTGGAGGAGAGAGCTGGGAGTAACTGAGACCAGCCCTGGGGACCACCAGCAGCACAATGGAGACCTCCCAAGGACATCTTGCAAAGGGGTCTCCTGAGGGGGTATTGTATTTACCTATTTTTAATCCTCACCCGAGGATAGTTTCCCAGTGATTT